AAAAAAAAAAATAAAAACAAAGACAAGGTTTGAGCCAAATAAATTGTACGCTTTATATTTGAAAAGAACATTGCTCTTAAAATAGTATTCTGTGCACAATATCTGATCATCAGAAACGTTAGTTATGAACTATTGATTGTTTAAACTCAATCACATTTCTGATTTCATAACTTCTAAGCAAGAACATGGCTAAGTTATACTATAGTTTGCAATTTTAGTAATTTTTTCTTTTTGACTCTTAATTTATTTATTTTTCTTTTAAAAATACTTATTTTTTGAGACAAGTCTCACTTTCTTGCTGTGGGTAGAGTGCCATGATGTCATCGTAGCTCACAGCAACCTCAGTCTCAGGCTCAAGGGATCCTCTTGCCTCAGACTCCCTAGTAGCTGGAACCACAGGCACCTGCCACAACTAGTTTTTCTATTTTTAGTAGAGATGGGGTCTCCCTCTTGCTCAGGCTGCTTGGAATTCCTTTATATCTATGAAAGTAGCTTTACTTTCTAGTGGTAGGTGTTTGAGAAATAATTTGAAATTAGCTAAAAGCTATATAAAATCTTAAAAACAAAATAGCCAAACATGTAAACTAGGAACCATTACATTCTGAAGAACCTTAACATACTGTTTCTAGTGTATTATACTTTTAAAGAGTAAGTTCAGTTATAATCAGTGAGTTTAAATATGGTCAGTGAATGTTTAATATTTTCTTCTGAGATTTCATTGGTATATTTGTTGCAGTTACATTTATAATTTGATTTTTGAATTAGCTACTTTATATCAGTGTTGAAATAATCATAGATGTTAGAAGAAAAGATGAGGGGGTTATTAACTGGCGTTAGTTCACATAAATTTCTATGAAATGAAAGATTTCTTTGATTGTAGTGAATTGAGATTTGTGTTAATACGCCAACACATGTTTTCTACTGTTTTTGGAGATAGCTAGTTTTAGAGGGTTTTTCTTTCTGTCTCTCTTTTTTTTCATATTTGATCAAAACTAGAGTTTCACTTCTTTTATATTTATGTACTCTATTTTTATTTCTTTTTTTGAGATAGTCTCACTTTGTTGCCCTTGGTAGAGTGTCGTGGCGTCACAGCTCTTGGGCTTAAGCGATTCTCTTGTCGCAGCCTCCCAAGTAACTGGGCCTACAAGTGCTGGCCACAACGCCCAGCTATTTTTAGCAACGGAGGTCTCACTCTGGCTCAGGTTGGTCTTGAACCTGTGAGCTCAGACAATCCACCCACCTCAGCCTCCCAGAGTACAAGGATTACAGGTGTGAGACATTGTGCCTGGCCTTTATGTGCTCTATTTTTAGATGTGATTTAATATTTTATGCCTTAGAATTACAGAATTTTAGACTTGAAAGGACTCTTGGGTCTCCCAGTTCATTCAATTTATAGATTGATGAAATGGGGATCCAGAAAAGTTAAGTTCTCTACATTAGTAGCAGATCTGTTGTAGAAATCAAGTTCTGACTTTTAAGTTTACTTCTTTTTGCCAAATTTCAGCATGCACAAATGCGTTTCTGGGATAAAGCCCAAGTCACCATCGAGCAGGTAGTGTGGGACAATGTTCACGATGTCATGTTTATTACCTCCTTTACAAGGGTGTGGTGCTCACCTCTTGGGCCATGATTCATTCCAACTTCCTGTTTCTCATTTCAATGTTTCTGCCCTTGAGGTAGGAATATGGAAAGCATCTCTCTGCTATGACATCTATCACATAGCCCCATAGAGAGGATGGCCTGGGGAAGCTCAAGCCCCAAGAAGGCTGATGGGCTATTCGAGGTTACTTGTGCTGTGGTGGGTCAATAAAAGAAAGACATGAAATTCTATTTGTTTGGATACTTTGAGATTCAGTGAATGATGTATTGAGATTGTGCTCACTACTTTGCCCAGAAAATATTTCAGTAATACTCCATGTTGTATTGAGAGAATTAGTTCTGAAATCCACTTATAAGTTACACATAACTGGCCAGTTGTTACTTAACTTTTACAAAATCTTTAACAAAATGTATGATGAGGGAATGGGAGTAGTAATAATACAAAATAAGGAGATGAATGGCAGAAGTACAAAACATAAGCCAGCTTTTATTGCCAATTTCTAATTTTTCAGTACTTAATTGAGATAATTTGCATACCCTACAGTTAATCAATTTAAATTTGTACAGTCACTGGTTTGTGGAATATTGAAGGATATGTGCAACTATCACAAGTG